AAAAAAAAAAAAAAAAAAAAAAGTGAGTCAGGAGAGACAGTTGCTTAGGCCATTGCCTCTGGAATCTGGAAGGGACTCATATTTTCTGCTTTTATTTCCAGCCTGTAACAAAGACATTTATGTGGACCTGGACATGAAGGGTGTGAACTATAACAGCTCAGTTGCCAGGAGTGTTCAAGAATGCCAAGAAAGATGCACGGATGACATCCACTGCCACTTTTTCACGTATGCCACAAGGCGGTTTCCCAGCCTGGAGCATCGGTGAGTCGCCAGGACATCAGAGTAGCCGGTGAAAACCAGAATGGTGATGTGCTAAAAAAAATTTTCATCAACTTGATGCCAGAATTTATTTTAAACCCCTAAAAGACATTTCTACAAAAGTACTCTTAGTTTTCTTCATGAAAAATACACTTAAAGCCTAATTTGGATGCATTTCATTTATGATAAGAAGTCTGCCTTTTAATAACACTGTCAGAAAAATAGATACACCTAAACCATATCCTAGCTAATTTCAAAAGTGCTACACTATTAAATTGGCAATTTTAAAACACTACAATTGGTCTGATTGGCCGTGCCCTACCCAGTCTCAAAAAATGTTACAGCCTAAAAGAATAAAAATAAAAACCTACTCCTCTCTCTCTCTCTCCTGTCCCTCTTGCTAAATAACAGTTCCCTCCCTAAGACAAAATACACATATGAGATTTTGAAATATTTCGAGGATAAATCAATTATGTAAGAATTTAAGAATGATCTCGTATCTAATGACCAAATCTGTGTTCTCATCTTTAAAAATTTTTATGGAAATGTATTATTAATTAGTATATTCAGAAATATTTAAGATGATTTAGATTTTCATAGTAAACTGCATTTATCTGGAATCAATAGAAAAGTGAAAAGCATTCAAATTTCTAATATTTGTGTTTCAACATTGGATTTAAACATTCTGTCCTCCACATTTACAAAGAGGACTAAACAGAAAGCAAACAAAGCATCAACAAGCTGTTTCAGAAACAATAATCACGCCTGTAATCCCCGCACTTTGAGAGGTGGAGGCGGGTGGATCACTTGAGGTCAGGAGTTCAAGACCAGCCTGGCCAACATGGTGAAACCCCATCTCTACTAAAAATACAAAAATTAGCCAGGCGTGGTGCCGCACACCTGTAATCCAAGCTGCTCTGGAGGCTGAGGCAGGAGAATCGCTTAAATCCAGGAGGCGGAGGTTTCAGTGAGCCAAGATTGTGCCACTGCACTCCAGCCTGGCGACAGAGTGAGAATTCATCTCAAACAAACAAAATAACAGTGGTACACACACACACACACCCCAAACCCCCTAATTAGCCATTTGACTTGCAAGGCTTGTCTTTAGCTCAGCTCAGACGACAGCTTTTATGTCTAAAACTTAACACAATGTGAACTGCAAACCAAAAGCAAGATTTTTAAAAAAGTGAAGTCATTAGAAGTGAGAAGGCTTGAGAAGTCATGCATTCACACACTCTTTTTCTTCATGCGGTCGCTCTCTCAAGCTGTCACTGTACCAAGGAAGAAGTAAAGGTCACAGTTCACAGGTGCTTAGCAGCACTGCTGGGGCCATGTCCAGTCCGTCACAGCCTCCCAGATGGATGCTTCAGGGTCTTCCAAGTCCTCTTTCCAAAGGGGAATTTCTTACCATCTCATGTTTTTTCCTCCTTGCAGTTGGAAGGATAAGACTCTTTCCCTTTTTCTTTTTATTCAGTAACAGGTGTCTACTGAAGCACTCCCAAACAGGGACACCAACCAGAATAACGAAGCTCCACAAAGTGGTGTCTGGATTTTCACTGAAGTCCTGTGCCCTTTCTAATCTGGGTAACTATTGACTTCTGGAGGACGTAGTTTAACCATGAAACATGTTGATGATCGGTACAATAGACCTAAGTCAGGATACCAGCTTATGCTCACTGACGAAACGGACCCAAAGATCTTTACCTTCATGTGACACATTTCATCTTGTCCTATACAGTTAGATCCTATATTTAAATTTCAAGTTTAAAATAATCGTGTCATTTTCTTCGAAATAAAAAATTAAAAGATCTTGGGATACATTTAAATTTTTAAATATGGAATATGCAAATACCATGACTGGAATTTTCCAGACAGATGGCGAACTGATATCCTAACATAGTTCTTCTCTTGTGCAGCTTGCATTAGGGACGTTTTCCCTGACACAGCGTTTGCCGACAGCAACATCGCCAGCGTCATGACTCCGGATGCCTTTGTCTGTCGCCGAATCTGCACTCATCATCCCGGTTGCTTGTTTTTTACCTTCTTTTCCCAGGAATGGCCCAGAGAATCTCAAAGGTAAGGAATCAACAAGGAAGGATAAGTTGTTATCTTTAAAAAATAGCTGATCAAAATCCATCATTAAAAATTCCAAGTTACTCTAAATGTCATTACAGGATAAAAGATGTAAAGAATTTCTAACTTTTCTCCCTTTCTATCCCTACCTACTTACCACAAATCCAACATTACCAAGGACTCATTTTTTAAAATAAATTTTAAAATAAATATTATTTTACCTAAATAAATTGTAGGCACAGGTACAGTTTTGTTACATGGATATAGTGTGTAGAGGAAGGTCTGGGCTTTCAGTGTAGCCAAGTAGCACACATTGTACCTATTAGGTCATTTCTCATGCCGCGCCCTCCTCTATCCTCCCAATTCTGAGTCTCCACTATCTTTCATTCCACTCTTTTTGTGCCTGGGTATACTTTATTCAGCTCCCACTTACAAGTGAGAACATGCAGTACTTGACTTTCTGTTTCTGAGTTGCTTCACTTGAGATAATGGCCTCCAGTTCTCTCCATGCTGCTGCAGAAGACGTGGTTTAATTCTTTTTATGACTAAGTAACATTCTATAGTATATTCTATGCACCACATTTTCTTCATCTGTTCATTTGTTGATAGACTCTTAGGTTGATTCCATGTCTTTGCTACTGTAAATAGTGCTGCAATAAACATGTGAGTGTAGGTATCTTTTTGATATAATGCTTTTTTCTTTCTTTCTTTTCCTTTGGATATATACCCAGTAGTGAGACTGCTGGGGGTCTCCACCTTTGGCAAAGGGAGAGTTGCCTGGTTCTAAATGGAATGAAGAGATTCCATTCCCATCTCATGACCACTAAAAGGCAACGCAGTCCAATCCTTTGTTTAATTGAATCAGGAGCAGAAAGACCTGAAAATGTCAGTAAAATGTCAAACCCAAAGTGGAGAGAGAGAGGTGGAAATGAATGTCTCCACCAAGTGGGGTGATGGCAGAGGGGGATTTGAGAATTGAGTCCCTGTTTTCTTGCCAATGGAAATTACACAGGCCATCAGAAACAGCATGGACAATTTCTTTGATCATCAAAAGGACGCTAGCTAAGGTTGGTGTCCCTCTGTTTTTTTTTTTCTTTGAAATAGGGTCTTGCTCTGTCACTCAAACTTGGGTGCACTGGGTGCAGTCTTGGCTCACTGCAGCCTACACTTCCTGGGCTCAAGCAATCCACCCGTCTCATTCTCCCAAGTTGCTGTGACCACAGGTGTGTGCCACCACGCCCAGCTGATGTTTGTATTTTTGTAGAGACAGGGTTTTGCCATGTTGTCCAGGCTGATCTAGAACTCTTGGACTCAAGCAATCCACTTACCTTGGCCTCCCACAGTGCTGGGATTATAAGCTTGATCCACCGTGCACAGCTTGCTGTTCCTCATTGACAACATTCACTTAAACAAACACACAGACAAACAAAAATCCATAAAATTCATCTGAATTGGAGCTCTCAGAGCCCTCGGCACTTGTGTGATGGGCCTCCTGCTGATGAACAGGTGTCCTCCTAAAAATTCAGCCAAGGGGCCACGTTGTGTGCCTTGCCCTTCACACGAGCCTCACTTTCCACTGAGTGAGGCTATTTCAGAAGCGCCAGGTCTATTACGTGAAAATGAATCTGCTACCTGCATTTACTAAACACATTTAGTAGAATTTATTTGGTGCCCATTATACATCAGGCATTGTTCTGAACACTGGTTATACCGTTTAGTGAACTAAATAGATAAAAACCTTGCTTACTTGGACCAGAGTGGAGATGAGAGAGAAGTGATCAGATTGATGTGTATTATCAATAGAGAGCCAGTAAGATTTGCTGGTGGATTGGACCATGGATTGTGAAGGAGTCAGTGATAGCACCCCGACTTTTGGCTCAAAGAACTGGAAAGATGGAAATGCTGACGACATAGCCGTGGAAGCTTTAATAAGAATCAGGGTGTAGGAGAAGCAATGGCCATGAGACATCTAGGGGAAAAGGTTGAATCAGCGATCGGAAATATAAGTCTAATTCAGGAGAGAGTTTTATGCTGTGGGTCTGCGTTTAGGTGTTGCCAATATACAGCTGATACCTTTTTTTTTTTTTTATTTTTGAGACGGAGTCTTGCTCTGTCACCCATGCTGGAGTTCATTGGCGTAATCTCAGCTTACTGCAACCTCTGCCTCCCAGGTTCAAGTGATTCTCCTGCCTCAGCCTCCTGAGTAGCTGGGACTACAGGCACATGCCACTAAGCCCAGCTAACTTTTATATTTTTAGTAGACACTGGGTTTCACTGTGTTAGCCAGGATGGCCTCCATCTCCTGTCCTTGTGATCTGCCCTCCTCTGCCTCCCAAAGTGCTGGGATTACAGGTGTGAGCCACCATGCCCGGCCTACTTTTTGAAAATGTAGTGAAATTATCAAAGGATTAAATGCAGACAGAGAAGAAAGTAGGTCCAAAGATTGAGCCTTGGGGCATGAGAAAGCTCAGAAGTAAGGAAGATGCCATTGTCACTTGTAACCTGTGTTAGTCCCTGCTCTTTTCTTTGTCTTATTCCCTTACTGAGCAATTCCTATAATAGGAATAACACATTTGATCTTTAATACAGAATGTGATAGAGACATGGCTTCCATAAGCCAAAGCTTGGCAATTTAAATGGAAATTGATTAAAATTAAATAAAACTAACAATTCATCTCCCCAGCTGTATTAGCCACATGTCAAGTGCCCCGTAGCCACATGTGGTTGGTTGTTACTGTATTGGATGGCAGAGACACAGAATATTTCCATCACTGCAGGAAGTTCTATGGGCAGCCTTGCTCCAGGCTGTGATCTTGTCTACTTAGGAAAAGTCACTCTTTTCTAGGAAGATGCTCCCAGGGTGTGGAGTTGATGATGGACTTCACTCACCTCCTTATAAAACTGTCACGGCCCTGGATAGGGGATTTCTAGGCAGCATGAAGACTCTTGAATCTTTAAGATAGGCCGGGAGTGTTGAAAGGAAGGAAATGAAAGGGGAAGCTACTAGGAAGGCTGGCAATAGAGCAAGCTCAGAAAAGTTTGTACAAGCCAGGTGATCTAGTTAGAAAATTTTTCTGCAACCTAAGGGTCATGGAGTGTGACTCTGTGGTTTATGGGTGTGACTCTGTGGTTTATG